TGTAGAATATTTTCCCTATTCCAGTTCCTTATTAGGGCGCGTGCGTAGAAGTCGCAATAATTCAATTGTTGCTCAGATTAGGTTCTCCTTCTTTCCTTTAAAGACATTTAACCTTTGCCACATTGGCCGGAAAGTAGAACATTGAAGGAGGTACTGCCCCTACACAGTTGAACAGTCTCGCGCTCCAGTATAGCGGCGCTAACTACCCGCGATCGCGTCGCGCGCTGTGCCTAGAGCGCGCTAGTTGGAAAAATCGTCAAATGTACCCCCTATTTAAAGGACTATAACTTTCTTCATTGATAACCATTTCAGAAAGTGAAGGCAGCTTTTGAATGCACAAGACTTCTAGTTTCTAAATTGTGCTGAGCGTTTTTCTAAGCACGCCTATTCTCGAGAGTGGGAGACGTCGAGAAATTGTCGAGGAAATTGAAATTTACATGCGAGTTCCCACTCTTTGGAAGACAGTAGCTGTCTTCATTGGCAATGCTTTGAAAATCGGAGGAAAGCGTTGTAAAGTAGAAGATTTACGCTTTCTGATAGGTGCTCCAGTTGTTTCGAACGCTTTCTAGTTCGCGAGAAATCTGCGTCGAGGAAATGTCAAGGAAATTTTCGAAGCCACTCGAAAACTCTATTACTCCCTCGCCGTAGTAGGGAACTTCTTTGAACACCTTCAAAATACTTCTGTACACGTCAGTTCGATGGAGTAAATTGAAAATGATGCACTTGGCGCAGATCCATTCCGTTCTTGTATGCGCCATGCAGTGACCCCACTCGGAGTCATTGGGAAGGTGTTTTGTCCTAGTGACGACTTGCTTAAGCACACCAAAAGATATTTCCAGTATTAACTAATTAGGATAACTCTTGTGGTCATAGTGATGTCTGATCATTCCTTTATTCAAATCGCTTCCTTTCCAACCCGTTCTGATGAATGACACGCTTGCGGTTGCAGGATCTGATGATGCCAAGAAGGCTGCGAATCTGCCTGTTTTGAACTTTCTACCAAGATGCTGTTCCTCCACTAAGTTCTCGAAGCATGTACATCATTCTAGAGTAGATACTCGCTGCCCTTTCCCTACGATTCTTTTGCAGGACGACGCGTTGCCTTC